ATGGCCTCCAACCTACTAGCAATGGCCTCCAACCTACTAGCAATAGCCTCCAACCTACTAGCAATGGCCTCCAACCTAATAGCGATGGCCTCCAACCTGGCAGCACACAGGTGTCCTGTACTGCAATCAAATTCTCAGCAGGGAGGCCATCTGAAAGCTCTTGGACTGGACAGGTATGGCCACTGACGCACGTCCGAGACAGCGACAAGGATGAGGGTCCCACCACCCAGAGCACACCCACCTCAACGGTGAAGCTTTTCAGAGACCCACAGTCAAGAGCACCACACCAGCAAAGACGGTAGAGTCCTTGGCAACAAGTGATGAATTGAACATATGTTCAGGCATTTCAGACCTAAACGGCCGAAGACAAAGAAAGCTTGCATAGTCAGTGCGTGTTTTAGTTTGCACTAGAGGGAAGAGCTTCAGAACATGGTGAAGCAACTGTGTGAAATGAGAACTACGAGGACCTGCCTCAGCCAAGGCTCCTCCTGCGGATGAAATGGCAACAGAGCCCCAAGAAATAGTAGCTCCATTTCGTCCAGTGGAAACAGATCTCCCATACTCCGGGAAGCGTGGAACAAGCTGTTCACCACAGGTATCATGCACGGCATACGCATCGTTCTCTGACAAATAGAGCCCTGACACACCAGAGGCGTCACAGACTTGACCAGTAAAGCAAGTAAAAGTTCTATGTCCTGCCGAGGTATGACCAAAGGGTCCAACCAAATGAAGCGCTCCCAGATCCGTCTGATAGTCCTCTGCAGTCGAGCACTTGGTGAAGGACGAGCACCAACATAGCCTGTACTGCCCACCGGCTGAGGACACATCGACCCAAGCAAAAAGAGCCCCGCTGGCGGAGACGTGGGAGATCAGGCCATTCGCCTGCGCTTCTAGCGGAAATTTCTGCACCAAGGCCTCGTGATGTCCACAGGTCTCGAGGACTGTGACGTGGTCAAACTCACTGACATAGCCAGAGAGCGATAAGAGGCATCCGGCTCCTGAGGCATGGTCCAAACAAAAAATCCCAAAAAGGGGTCCAAACACCAGGAGGTATAAAGAAAGAAAGCAAGAAAGAAAAGGATCGAAAGAAAAAGGACATAAAGAAAGGATGTATTGCCGTTTGTGAGTTGGGTGGCTCCTGAGACACAAGTATGGTCCTGTTCCAGAGGTTGTGGCCCGAGAATCCACAGTTGGGCAGCCGTCACTTGGAAATCCTCACCCAAAGAGCAAGATCCAGATCCGCCGGAGCACCAACACAAGTGGTATAGCCCACCTGATGCTGTCCATCGATCTCCAAAACGGACAGTCGCACCACTTTTGCTCAAGGAGGAAGCAGCCCCTCCCTGGGAGAGACGTGGAATGATGGCGTGATGTCCACAGGTATTCAGCACCATGAAGCTATCCTGTGTCGACAAGTGCGTGCCTGTTAGTCCATGGATGTCACATTCTAGGCCACTGATGCAAGTTCTTTGTTGGACCAACGGCTCGACCGAAGCGGTCCAACTTGTCAGCAAATTGGGCTGCGGCCCTGGTCCAATGAGCGTCAGAGCCCCAACATCCACGAGAAAGTCTTCTGCGGCACTGCACTGACCAGCGGCACTGACCAGTGCAGCCTCACCCGCGTGTTCTTCGGCACCAGGGATGGTGCACCAGCAAAGCCGATAGATGCCACCAGCGGAGGAGACGATGATGTCTTCTCCCCAGGAAAAGAGAGAATCTGCTGGCCAAGACAGGCCTGCATTGGGCCAGCGCATCACCGTCCCTTGCACATCACCACAGGTATTTTGCACCAGAAGTCGATCCCTTGGGGAAAGAATTCCGGTCATGTTCACGAAGCATGTTCGACCTGCTACGCAGGTTCTGTCTTGCAAAAGTGGCGCAGGGCCTTGGATGAAGATGCTGCCAATGTCCACTCGGAAGTCTGTGGAATTGAGGCAATCCAGCATCGAGGAGCACCAACAAAGCCTATACTGCCCACCAGGAACTGTCAACAAACGCTCTGTTGATGTTGAAGAAGGCAAGGACACCAAGAACTGCTCACTGCCGCACGTGTGCATCACCAGGAACTGCTCGCTTTCGGACAGATCATTTCCTGAAACCCCAACCAGTGCACATGGCTGGCCACTCACACAGGTGCGATCTTGAGCCACGGGGTGCGGTGCAAGACTAATTGGGTGTGGACCTACAAAACGAAGAGAGCCGATGTCAACACGGAAGTCTCCAGCAAGGCTGCACTGTGTGGAATTCCGGCACCAGCAAAGCCTGAAATCAGATCCAGCTGCAATCACTGCTGAAGCGCCCCAGGAGACGGTTTCTCCATCTGAAGGCAAACTGATACCACCCTGGGGCCATCCAGAGAGCATGAGGCTTTGCGGTTGCTGTCCACAAGTGTCCAAGAGCATAAGACTTGATGAATCCTGTAAATCTAGACTGCTCATGTTGGCAATCTCACAAACATCCCCCGCCACACAGGTTCGTTCCACCTTTCGATTTGGAGGTCCATGTACCGTCAACATCCCCACTTCCACAGCATAAGAACTGGCATTTCTGCAGCCTTCATGGGAGGGACAATAGCAAATTCTCCATGTCCCACCATAAGGCAGGTCGCCCCCCGCGGCCGCTCCGGCCGCATCCAAGCCGATCAAAAAGCTGCGGACCGTGCAATTCCTCCGGTGTGGTTGAGTGCAGTCCCCCGAGGCAGCGAGGAAGACCGGCTTCGAGCTGCCCTGCAGAACGAGTGGAGAAAACGCGTCACCGCAGCTGGTGGCGCTCGAAGCGGAGACCGCCGCAAGGCGATCGCTGGGAGAAAGCCAATGGCCTGTGAAGTCACCCAAAATGCAGTCTTCGGCCACGTGGCATTGCATGTGTTGTTCCAAGGGAGATGGACCTCGAATCACCAAATGACCCACCTGAAGCGTGAAATCACCAAATGAGACACATCCACGACTCAAAGCAGTGCAGTAGCACATGACCCAATTGCTGCCGAGGCGTGTTTCATTCGCAGATAGTATGACCTGCCGATATTCATTCACGTTTGACACATTGCTGAAGCTAGATAAGCTCGCTGCATCACAACCCGATGAGGTTAGAGCTAGCTTGTCAGCATCTGACAAGTTTTGTCCACTGAAGGGCCCCAAATGGCACGCATGTCCTGCGAAGCAAAATTGATCTTGCTGCAAGTTGTTCGGACCGGCCACCACCAGGAGACCTGCATCTACCCTGAAATCTGATGCATCATCGCAGTGTTCAAACATAGCGGTGCAGAAGCACAAGCGCCAAACACCTCCTACTGGCAAGTCTTGCTTTCCCGAGAGCGAGAGGTCTAATGCTGCTGACAAGGCGTGCGCCGTATTCGATGCGACAAAGGAGTCCCTCTGGTCGCCGCAGGCGTGATCCATCGGGACAAATGCCACCAAGTCGATGGAAGAAAGCTGTCCCGCAAAGGGCCCTAAGAGGCAGTCGTGCAGAGCGGTGCAATTCTGATGCTGCTGTGGATAAGGGCCGATCAGGAAAAAGTGACCCATGTGGAATTGAAAGTCCGTCTCCTCTTCTGGATCGATGCCAAGACAGATTTTGAAGCTCACCTCAACATCATATCCCACCGGAGTGCCCAGCACAAACAGCCCGTCGCTCTCCGCATCCGCGGTGAAGTTCCCTCCGAGCCCCGTGGCGCTGGAGATCCCGTCGACGCCGTCGACCGCACCGGTCGCACCGCAGGAGACGTTCGTCCGCAGGAGGCGCAGCGCGTGGCGGCGCCCGGCGCCGGTGCCCCAGCCGGGCAAGCGGAGAACACAGAGGTGGCCCACGGAGCACTGATGAGAAGAGAGCTCGTAGGCGATCTTGGACATCTCAATGTGCCCACGACCAGTGCTGTTGTTGATGGCAAAGAAGGTACCAAATGGATCGGTGTAGGAACTTGCATTCGGTAAAGGGGAAAAGGACTCAAAGGACTCAGCCGATTCTCGAGCCACTTCGGCCAAACAGCTCAGTTGCAGATTCATGTGCAAGTAGCTTCCAGACTTGGGGCAGCTGTCCACTGCCTGCGAAATCTTGGCCGAGATGAGCACAGAACCCGTATCTGGTATGAAAGAAGAAATGTCAAAGTCCTGAAGGCAATAGAACTCAGAAGAAGTCTCACAAGCTTTCCCAGGTCTACAATCCGTCAAGACCGGCAGACCCTGCACCTTGATCCACTCCAAGCGCTCATTCGTTCCAACAAAGTCGGTCTGAAAAATCGACGCCGACAACCTGCAGTGCCGGAGGACGTCAGAGGCGAGGAGGAGCTCCGCGTCCGCGCTGCAGCCGGGCTCAGAGCAGGTGATGGATGCTGCGGACACCACGCCAGCAGAATAGGTGATGACGTCGCCGTTGACATCCAACACCGTCACCATGCCAGAACTCACATCTCGGTAGCCATCTGCTTCCAGCGCGAAGCCAATCGTTGCATTGCCACTGATGGCAACTGCGATCAAATCGCCAGCGAAGTCACTGACAAGGTCTTTCACATGGAAGATTCCAACCTGTGTCTGAAACTGAGTGACATCACTGCAATTCTTCGAAGAAGCACACCAGCAGACCCGATATCCCTGTGCATCCAAAGGCTCTCTTCGCCAAAGTTGAGTTGTTGCCCAGTGACCTGTGCTGCCTGCTATGCCAGCACCTAATGCAAGCACCTGTTCCTCAGGGTCTCCGCAATTCGCAGCAATAGGCCAAAGAGCCGTCTGATCCGTCAGCGTCATTCCTTGACCCCGAAGTTCCATCACCAAGTCACGTCCCACGTAGCCCAATAACGGACCTCCGGTCTCACCATCTCGAAAAGTCGTTGGACCATTCACCCTAAAGGTGCCAGCATTGGTCCACAAGCTAAGGTCATCACAAATGGAAGATACGGAAGCATTGCTCGAAGCATTTCCACACCAGCAGACTCGATATTCACCAACCACTGACACCGACAAGGTCGCTGCGGCCAGAAAATCTCTCTCGATGTTGGGTGCTTCCTGTTCGGTGCTTCCTGTTCCTTCGGAAGTATTGAAACTATTGAAACATGAAGAGGGAAAAATGGAGTTGGAAATGGTGGCCGGTGCTTCATTGCATGACAAGGAGGCATCAACCACAGAGATGTTGTCATCTGCTGCCAAACCATCACCAGCAAATCGAAGAGTAAAGCAATCACCAACTGCCTCGGTCCACAATCAGTTCCTCAACTCAAATCCAGAATATCAACATCATGACTTAAAAAAAGAAACAAACATAAAGAAAGAACAAGGAAGAAGTAAGCCCTGTTCGCTACACAAACTGACATCTCGCTGCCACGAACTGACATCTCTGAGCCGCTACATCCGGCAAAGGTGTCTCAGACCTTCAGTGCCAGACCAAATCGCAACAGAGTCGAAAAGTTCTCTCTTTTGGTCCGAAGAAACTTTCTTGGAAGTGAGTATGAGATAGTAGACAGTAAGTAGGTAGAAGGTCAGCATGTTGTTGTTGTTGTTGTTGCTGTTGTTGTTAAAGGCATTCTAGACCTAGGGCAAAAGGAACCGGCGTTAGGAACGATCATCTTTGTTTAGGCTTCGTCTTTGGGAGTGCAACTGCGACAGCATCTCGTTTCTAGTGATGCTTTGGATCGCGGTCGCGTCCCAGACCTATGCTGGATACCTATGCTGGATCTCGTCATGCAAGGTGCGCTGATGAGCACAGGGTGAGAAATAAAGAACAAATCAAAGACAAAAATAAGCGAACGACTCACCAAAACCGAAGAACACGCAAAGAACCCCCGGAGCCTCGGCATTCCTTCACTCCACGTACGCGAAGAACGACCCGGTCCGACCCCGCGCGGAGATGGACTCGACCGAATCACTGGCCTCACGTCGTCAGAATATCTTCTCTAATGTAGACTCTTCAAAGGGGTGGTCTATTAATCAAGAGTCTACATGACGTCAAAAAGGAATTCACCACATCATGGCTGCACTTCGATTATTGCGATCCCACAACACAGCACGTCAGGCAGAACACCGCGCACCGCATGGATCACACATCACATCCATGTATCATCACCAGTTCCGTCAGCACATGTTTGCCCCAAGTCAATACTGTCTGCAGGACAACCTCGGATTATGACAACCGAGGTTTTCCTGTCATTCGTGATCGTAGCAGCAGGCAAATCAGCAGCAGCAGAAACAACAGCAATGGTAGTAGAAGTAGTAGTAGTAGTAGTAGTAGTAGTAGTAATAGTAGTAGGAGTAGCAGTAGCAGTAGCAGTAGCAGTAGCAGTGGCAGTAGTAGTAGTAGTAGTAGTAGTCGTCGCTGTCGTCGTTGTCGTCGTCGTCGTGGTACTTTGTAGTGCTAGTTGTGCTGGCAAAGGAGTCTGGCATTGCAAAGCAAAAGCCTTCCACATGCTCAAAAATGCTTGAAATGCTCAAAAAGCATGTTGTCGTCTTTCTACAGCAGTGAGGCTTCCGAAAGTACTCCGCTGCAAAACCGTCTCAGCTGCAGGCGGTGCTATTGCCACCGTTCCATCTCCGCCAATACTTGTGGAAAATGAAAGTATAAGAGGATGCTCCTGCTTCACTAGAAAGATTCGATCAAAGCTTCGTCTTTCGATCTGCTGGTCTTTCGATCAGCTTCGTTTGACAAAGATTCGTGAAAGAACAAGTCCACGTCCCTCCTGGGCCCTGATCGCAGCGAACAAGGCCAGAAGCAACAAGGACAATACCTTACGAAGAATCAGAAGCTTACTGGTCAAACGACGCTGCTGAATGACTCTGTGTTTCTCAATCAATCCGAGGAGTCTGCATTCTTCTGCGGAATGGCCATAGCGGAATGGCCATAGCCTCATGGATGGACGGTCGTTCGCTCTCTCTTTCCAACGCGTTTTCGGCTATTTTTCCAGCTTGATTTGCGGTCATGTTTTGCCTTTCTCTTTATTCAAAATGGTTTCAAGTAGAATGCTTGACTGTATTCTCTCTATCTCACTCTCTCTCTCTCTCTGCCGTTTTGTTCCCTTCACTTGGCCAAGCAAAGGCCTGTGGTAGGCCGTCACCAGCCATGAAGCCTGGCGTCTTCCCATACCTTGCGGCCCGCGCTTCGGCAACGAAGAAGAAGAACCACAGCTCAGAAAGTGGTATCAAGAGAACACACTACTAGGATGGAGGCCATCGCAAGGAGGTTGGAGGCCATCGCTAGTAGGTGGTATCAAGAGAACACACTACTAGAATAAAGGCCATCGCTATTAGGTTGGAGGCCTTCGCAAGGAAGTTAGAGGCCATCGCTAGTAGGTGGTATCAAGAGAAC